AAAAAAAAAAAAAAAAAAAAAAAAAAAAAAAAAAAAAAAAATATATAGAATCCTTGTTTGAGGTCCATTGTCAGAACACTAACAGAATTTCATCACTGTGGTGGGTTTTGGTAGATATCAACTAACACATTAAGGCAATGACCTTTTCCTAATTTGCTAAATTTTCCTTTTTTTAAATCACTGACTGGTCATATTAGATTTGTCACCATTTTCATTTAACCTTGATTACCTACTTAAGTGCCCCACCTCTGAATACAGTTTGTGGTGGGACACATTCAGTTCATAACTATGGATGATGAATTTTATCAAATGATTTTTCTGCCATCTATTGAGATAATCATGAGACTTGTTTTCATTTAGTCTATTATGTAGTAAAATAAATTGAGTATTCAGTGACGTTTCTTATTGGTCTCTGGCTTTTTAGAATATAACTTTATTGGTTGTAAAGATATGCATGTGTGGTAAACCTTTCAAGAAAAACAAAGGAATTATTATTATTATTATTTTATTTTTTTGCGGTACGTGGGTCTCTCACCGTTATGGCCTCTCCCGTTGCGGAGCACAGGCTCCGGACGCGCAGGCTCAGCGGCCATGGCTCACGGGCCCAGCCGCTCTGCGGCATGTGGGATCTTCCCGGACCGGGGCACGAACCCGTGTCCCCTGCATCGGCAGGCGGACTCTCAACCACTGCGCCACCAGGGAAGCCCCAAAGGAATTATTAATATCAAGATACTGGATGCTTCAAACTGAGGAAAATGGGGGTGACATAGTGTGTTAGAATCCACGGGGCCTCTGAGCTACCGTGTAATGTTTGATTTCTTCACCTAGGTGTTTTATACACGGGTACTAATTTTACTATTCTCCTTTAAATTGTATCTACATGTTTACTACACAATCTTATATGCCTGCTTTTCATAACAAAACAAAAATAGATGAGTCACACTCAAAGATGAAATAAGCTACTGTGAAAATTAGAAATAGAATAGAAACATGCTTAAATGTTGGAACCAGGAAGAGAAAAGTAGCAGCCAGTTTAACCCTGTTGAGACATGGAAACAAATCTCCCCAAGCACAGGAAGGAGCAGGGACAATCTGCAAGTATTTAGGGGAACTTCCCTGGCGGTCCAGTGGTTAAGACTCGGAGCTTTCACTGCATTGGGCGCAGGTTCTGTCCCTGGCTGGGGAACTATGATCACACATGTCACAGAGGGGGAGGGGTGTTATTAGGCCCCCAAAATAAAAAACCAAGGAAAAGTATAAGACTGATCTTTTTCTATGTCAAATATCTCCCAGGAAGATGTATAAATCATCTCACATAATGTCATAGTTACTGGACAATCTCAAATTTCAAGTAAGAGAGTAATTTAGATGTACTACTGGTAATGAGCAAAACCCAACCCCTGTATAAAGGGCAATAAATCTGCCTGACCTTTGCCCTCGAAGGAGACTGGACAGTATACAAACCTGCCTGTGCTCTGATGGAGATGCCACCTCTATCTTTCAAGGCTGTTTCCCATAAAAACGTCCTGGGAAACATAGTCCTGAGTGGTCGGTCCCTTGCTCCCGAAATGTGCAAGACGCCCCCTGAGAACTGTCTCCACACAGGTGTGTTTCCTCTCCCACATGGAACGTGTAAGGTGCTTATGGAACAGGTAAATGTATAGGTATAGGAAATATGCAAGTGTTCACACATTTACTGAAGCTGTGAAATTACAATTTTATACGCCCCAACGTTAGAATTCCAGAAACACTTTACAGTTAAACTCCACGTCCCTGTTAGTTCCCACAACATCTCTACTGCTATGGAAACACCACCACCAACAACAACAAAATAGAAAACAAAATGAGAAAAACTTTCTTCATGACTTTAAGTCAAATAAACATTTAAAAAAAAATCTCGGTGCCAGATGTAAGGACAGTTGTAAACATTCTACCTACTGTCCATAAATTTCAGGAAGAAAAAGAAGCAAAGTCAAAGATCATCCTTAGTAATCTCTTACTGCGCAGATTGTAAGAGGTTGAGTATAGCATCCGATAGAGAAATAAGGCTTTAAGATCTCAGAAAATTTGTCGGTGAAAGAGTGGATGTGGAACCTGTCCTTCCAACTGTAGAAGGAAATCGCACGCAACTCATAGTCCAGATCCACATCGATCCCGCCAGGCTCCTCCTTCAGCTCCAGGGGAAGGGCGCCCCCCGGCCCGCGGGCCTCACAATCCCCTCCGCGCAGCCCCAGAGTCCAGAGGCGTTTCTGTCCCTCCAGGTGCCCAGCGCCGCTCCTGGAGGCGGAGTCTGAGCAGACGCCCACAGCCCACGAGGCCCTGCCCACCCACCCCTCCCACTACCGCCCGCCGCTGGCAAAGCCCACAGAGTCCAGCACCGCAGGCTCCGTGCAGAATCTGTGCGCGCTTGGGGGAAAAAGCTGCCTGCTCCTCGCAAACGTCACCGACTTTCTATCCTCGGACACGAGCAGGTTGGGATGCGCTGTCTCGGGGTCCAGGGTCACGTCCTCCCGGAACTTCTGAATGATTTTCTGCAGAGCTGAGTGCTGCGGGGGGGCAGGCTGCAGCCTTCCCGCCTCAGCTGGAAGGAGTAGACGTCGGGGCACCTCAGACGCTCGCACCTGCCCAGGACGCCCCCGATGCCACTCAGCAGCCTGGCTCCAGGCAGCACGCTTCTCTCTGTCACCTCGTGCAGGAGGCCCCGCAGCTCGCAGATGTGGTCTGAGGAGGCGGTGATGTTGGCGCCCAGCTGCTCCCGGATGTCCTGCTCCTCCTGGACCAGCCTCGCCAGGACGGCCTCCTGCTCGCCGTCCACAGCCCGGCTCAGCTGCCGGAACTCCGAGGCCAGCTCCAGCCGCTGGCGCTGCACCAGCTCCCGCAGCTCCAGCAGCTTTCTGTCCTGCGCGGCCACCAGGCTGTGGGCATCTGCCACCCGCCTCTTCAAAGGCTCCACGTAAGCGCTGAGCCTCTGCCGGTGGTCAGCCGCGGCCTCGCCCACCGGCCTCAAGTGGCCCTGGTGCTCAGGGGTCCGTGCACACAGGGGACACAGCACTTCCACGTGTTCCTCGCAGAAGAGGCTCAGGACCTGGCGGTGCAGCTCGCAAGGGCGCGGGCCCTCGCAGCTCCTCCTGTTGCTCCGGCTGCTCTGGAGCAGCCTGGCCACACGGATCATCCTGCCCAGCTGGGTGTTTCTCCTCACCTGCCGCTCCTGGCACGGGCGGTGGCACACGGGGCAGGGGAACCTGTCCTCCAGGTGAGCCCAGGACCGCTGGATGCAGAAGCGGCAGGAGTTGTGCCCACACTCAGTGGTGACGGGGTCTCTCAGGCCCTCCAGACAGATGGAACAATTGGCTTCTGCCTGGAGTCCAGCCAGGGCCGCTGCCACAGTCATCGGGGCTGCACTGAGGTGGGTTTCTTAGGAGGCCGGGCTACTGGGTCTCTGCGCTGAGTAGCAGGTGCACCCTCGGGTCTCCCTCCTTCCTGTCCTGGATGTTGCAGGACTCTGGGGTGCAGGCAGGTGTTCAGAGAGGCTTCCTCCACTCCTGCGGCCTATCATAGAGCAGCTGGGCGACTCACTGCCCTCAGCAGCTCCAGGGTGTGAAGCCAAGCTCAGCAACTCTCTGGGTCAGAAAGCAGACACAGCTCCAAAGTGCCTTTTCCTTCCTGGGGATGAGAAAATAATCCTTCCTGTGAAAAGGCTGCCCTGTGTCTTGAGGGACCCTCACTGCCACAGTGAGGCATCCTCTGATCCTCCCCTCCACCATGACCCACCTACACCCACATGGACCACAGGTTGATGGCACCAGGTCCTGGGACTGTGGAAAGTGTGTGGGCTTGAGGACAAGAGCCCAGGGCCTGGATGGGACTCCCCCTCAGTCACCTCCTATCTGGGAACCTGGGGAAAGTTACATAACATCCCATTTCAAAGAGAATCTGGTTAAAGGATAAAAAACCCAGCTTCAATAATTTCAATCTTGTCAAAAATCTAATTTAAAAAACTGGTACTTTTTGGCTTAAACCACAGATCCTTCTAACAGCACTGAATTCATAATACATCAAAATTTACTTTTCACTTAAGCTTCTCAACTACAGAATATATGAAATTTTTTGCATAAGTGGATGGGATTTGGACTAGATGAAATTTGCTCTGGGCACCCTCCCAAAACTGACTTTTCACTTCAAGCTCAGAACGAGATTGAGATCAGTACGTCAATTTGAGTTGAAGCTGAGAAACACACACACATACAAACGTACTCCCTGATGACAGTGGTGAGCTACCAACTAGTGAGGATTTGTGGAGTCAAGATCCTAAGAAGAAGGTGTGGAGCTTTCCCTTTGAAGCATCTGCTGATTCTCAAAGAGGCTGAGAGGCCACCAACTCTCAGGGCTGAGAACTCTTGAGTTCAGGGCACCCACACAGGAAGAGTCCTGTTAGACGCTCCAAACTTTCCACTGGGATCAGCAAAGTGATCCCCAAAGCTGAAAGTGAGCATCCATGGAGGGTATGGGGGGAGGTGGGAGGGGGTGGGGGTGTATTGATTTAATCATCTCCAGCCCGGATAGGTTAAAGACAATCTCTGAGTCCAGAGACCCCAGAATGAATTTCAAGCGCTAAGATATAACGTCTTGGAGATATGTGGTGTCACTGGATCATTCATACACAGCTGGTGAGAGGTAAGTGGGCACAACCACTTTTGAAAACTATTTTGCATTATTAACTATCGTAGAACATACACTCAGTTATTTTACTCAGGCTGTGTAACCATCCAGACTATGAACCAGGGCTACAAACTCTGTGCACAAAAGTACATACACGAAGGTTCAATACAACGCTTTTCACAAGTCCAAACTAGAAATAACCGCAAAGTTCCACGGCATTAGAATGGCTAGATGAATGTGGTCTGTTCAAACAATGGGACATTAATCAGCAATGTGTGGACACTAAATACTCTTCACCCCAAAACTGGGGTGAATCTCAAAGATGTAACGTGGTGTGACAAAAAGCCAGGCACAAAAGAATACACACCGTGTGTGCAGGAGAAACGACTTCATGGTGTTAGACCTCAGCATCAGTGCTCATACTGGGGGAGGAGGGATGGGCTAGTGATTGGGAGGAAGATGAGAAGGGCTCTAGGGGTGCTGGTAACAATCTGTTTCTTCATCTGGGTGGTGGTGTAGGGTTACAGGCTTATGCAGTTTTCACTGTGCATGTCTAATAAAAGCAAAAGTGACCATAAAACCATAGACTATAGAAATAAATTATAGAGAAATACGTTCCATCTGTTTGGCCGAGGAAGCAAATTTTTGAAAATCAGAAAACTACATGATTACTTCAAGCATATATTTAGCTTATATCAAGCAATTCAAGCAAACATAATGAAAAATCTGGACATAAAAATGGGTAAAGAAGATAAAAAGATGCCAATAATGAAATCAAAGCAGATCATTTTTAATAATCCAGAGATATCAGAGTGAAAAACAAGAGAGATTGTTCTTTGTGCCTTGTCTGATTGGCAAAGATTTATAAAATACTGCAAACAGGGTAGTGGAGCCAGAAAGAGAGGAAGCCTGGTAGGGTGGAGCGAGCAGAGATTCTGAGCCAAGCTGCCTGGGCTGCAATCCTGGCTCTTCCATCTATGGCCCTGTGACCTTTGACAGGTCAGAAGGGATTTATGGAGGAGGGGGAAAATGTGCCTAGCAGCAGGCCTGGCACATGGAAGGTGCTCTATGGTACTCAACTAACAAAACCCCAGACCTTCCATGCTCAGGATGCTGTGATCAAAGAATATGTCTTTCACTGTCACCACTAACACCCTTGCCAAAGTCCCTACATGTTCCTCTGGGTGCCTGCACCAGCCTCTGACCACCCAGCCCACTACCACCCACTGGGTCCCTCCAGTCTCCTCCCACCCACACCAGGATCTAATCACACCCTCTCCTGCAGGACTGCTGTTCCTGGCACGAGAACCACGTCCTTCCCTCAGCTCCAGCTTCTCCCAGCACCAAGCTCTCTGCAGCACTCAACCTCCTGCCCTCTTCCTGCAGGTTCAGCCCACTCTGGTCCCAGCACCTTTGTACAAGCAGAGCCCTCACTTGTCTCCTCACTCTCCCAGCTCAGAGCTCACTTGTCCCTTCCTCCTGATCCTGGCTTCCCGACTCCATGAGGGGTCACCTCCCCCAACAAAATGTGCCAGAGCTGTAAGGACAGGATCAGGAACTCTTTCCACTCTGGCTGTTGTAAATTTACCCAGGTTTTGGAAATCTGCATCCCACACGTGACTGTCAACTCCGTGTTATCCCGCCATGATGGCATCTCCAAATATCACCTCAGTCCCGGACTAAGCTGTTAAATGACTAAAATCCTGGCCAGGTTTCCAGTCTCCCTTAGGAACTGAGTGACTTTGGGCAACTTAACTTGTACTCTCTGTGTGTGCAAGCAGGCAGTGGTGAAGTTGAGGAAGACCGAGTTCATTCAGGGCCCCATAGCTCTAATCCCTCCACTCTCCACCTACACACTGATGATGGATTTAAAAATCAAAGAGGAGCCCGGTGGCCACCTTTGATGTGGTTTCAGACATGACCGTGCATCACTGAGAATTTGATTTTCTGAACTGCTTGCGGCTCAAGGACACCATCATCCATTTTCACAACAGCATCTGCTGACAGCTCTGGGGCAACTTTGCAGTTTCAACATCCCCGCCGCCGCACCTGCAGCTGTGTAATCATTTGCAGCCCCAGCCAATGCTTCTTTGCTTAGCACCCTTATTTATGTAACCTTGCAGGTTCTTTGCCTTGATAAGCCTCCCCCAGCTTGGACTCAGGGAACACAAGTCAAGTGCTTCATGAATCCGGGTCTCTGGGGCTGCCGTCCTAACAACCCCCAAATAAAGGCCTCTATTTCAATCAGGTCTTGGTTTCTGAAGTTTTGGTTAACACCACAAAGTGCCCCTGACTGAGCCATCTTGGAGGGGGATCCCACAGGGGCTTCAAACCAGCCTCTGGGGGCTTTCTCACACACAGATACCAGTCTCTCCATCCTTGGGCCCTGGACAGGGTGGGAACTGGGCATCTGTGCTCTCAGCAAACATTTAGGTGAGTTAGGACAAGGCCCGCTGTGGGACTGGGAACCCTAATAAAGGACAGGTTTTTACATATGCCAAACCCCAGACTGGATTCCCTTGGAGGTGGATCCCTAGGCTGGGCCTGGAGCAGCGGCTCAGGAAGCCCCATGGTCTTGCCTCATCCTTGATCCCCGCTTACCTGAGGGGGCAGTTCTCTCTGGGTTCCTGGGCCAGGTCATCAGGCTGCTCTCCCAACACATGGCGGGGTCTGGGATGTGACGGGTATATATACACCCCCAGGAGGGTGGAGCTGTTGGGGTCCAGCCCTAAAGGCTGTGGCTCCTCCATAGATGGGAGGGTGGGCCCTGGGCATGGAGGGGTGTGTGGGGCATGTTCAGAGGTGCTGCTTAGAGAAGAGAGAGGAGGGCCAGGCCCCGCCTAGATTAGGTCAGGTGATAAACAGGATCTCCATTGCACCTTTGTGATCCTCCCTTGATCCTCTCAATGCCACTTAATTTCATCTTTGCTGATGATGAACTGAAATCTGAAAAGCTTTGTAAGGTTGTCCATTTACTCCCCGAGGAGGGGAGATGTGATTCAGGGCCCTCTGGCTCCCCCGCCCTTCCCGGTTAGGTAGCAAATTGTCAGGGAGGCTGCAAAATTACACGTCCCTGAGCAAAATTTGGTAGTGGGGAGGCTGGGGAATATTAGGTAAAAGGAAAGTTACCGATGAGGGCACAACGAAGTACTGCACACTAGGCTTTTCATTGGTTGGCAGAGAATATTTATTATGATTACATCATATGCAGAGTATAAGACTCCCATCAGGCTCAGCTGCACTACATCCCTGAGAAGAGGGCAGGTTATCCTGCCCCCTTGAAAGCTGTTTCCCCATTTGTAGGTTGGGGACAGAAACAATACTTTACACTTAGAGTATCTCTAGCCTAATAACCAGAAATTCAGTAAATATTTCAAATGAGAATGCATGGAAAGTACATACTACCCATGAAGTACTTCAGTTTTGATTGGCATTATTTTCACTATTTTGATTAATATTTTCTTGTATTATTTTATTTTATGCCAGGAAAATAGATATTTAAAAACACATAAGAGGGCTTCCCTGGTGGCGCAGTGGTTGAGAGTTCGCCTGCCGATGCAGGGGACACGGGTTCATGCCCCGGTCCGGGAAGATTCCACATGCCGCGGAGCAGCTAGGCCCGTGAGCCATGGCCGCTGAGCCTGCGCGTCCCGGAGCCTGTGCTCCGCAACAGGAGAGGCCACAACAGTGAGAGGCCCGCGTACTGCAAAAAAAAAAAAAAACAACAGCAATAACACATAAGAACACTAATGAGGGGATAATCAGCCATCATCCTACCACTTAGATAAATCAAGATTCATGCTCTCAACTGTGTGCTTTCAGAAGTTTGTATATATCCACATCTTTATTTTTTTATATGACAGGTGATAAATGGCAGTATATTTTACATACAGTTTCATAATCTGCTTCCCTCTACTTAACATTATATAAAATGGTGTCCTTCACAATCATAAAATTGTTTCTCTAATAGGAAATACAATTTTTTAAAAAGGGAGTGTATATTGTTTAAAATATGTAGAGGATAAAAAAGGAAGTCCACCAATGCCCCCAAATAATCTCTGTTAATGCATTAATTTAAACCTTTTTTTTTTTTGCTGCATATACTGTACACTCACATCATAAATACTAGTGTATTTACACATTGTCATGTGAGCATCGAGTAGCACCTAAGTGTTCTTAGTGTTGGGGAAACTGAAGTAAACAAAACCAAGTCCTTGCTCGCCTAGAGCAGCACAGATGAAAAACAAAAACATAAATCTCCTGCATATATGCATGGGACAAAACTGTTTTAACATATTTTTTTAATATCTGACCCAATAAAGTGTCAGGTGATGACAGCTGATAAAAAGAAAAATCAGAATGAAAATTGGTCCAACCACCTTGAAAACCAGTTTGGTTCTTTCTACTTAAGCTGAGTATGCACCTACACAACCCTTCAGCTCAGCAATTCCACTCCTGTTATTTATGTTTAGAAATGTGTCCATTTGTGCAAGGAAGCACATAGCAACACAATTCCCAATAGGGGAAATCTGGAAACAACCCAAGGGCTTTCAGCAACAGAATGAACTAATGAACAGCAGTACAGGCATGCAATGGACTACTATTCACCAAGAAAAGGGATCTGAAAAACAGAAAAATAAGGATGAATTCCCCACCTGTCATATTGAGCTGAAGAGTCCAGAAATACAATAACATACTGTGTATGGCTCCCCTCATATGAAGATCAAAACCAGGCCAAACCAGTGCATGGTTTAGCAGCAGGTGGCGGTTATCTTTGGGGAGGAGAGTGGAGGCAGTGATGGAGAGTGGCCAGGAGGGGAAAGGGAGCAGGTACTGTT